TCTATTTGGAATCATATATATATATATATATATATATATATATATACTGTATATATATATATATAAAGTATGCTATGCTATGCATTATGTGCAAAAAACGGGCTAAATTCACATTACATTCTAACATTGTACAATCTAAAAACAAAAATAATGCTTTTTAAAGCAGAAGTTCAAATTCACTAAACTAAAAATGTAAGTAAATAAACACAAGAGCACAGATTAATTGCATTTTAGTTTTGATTACCCCATTACTGCTATCTGCTATTATAAAATACACTTACTTGTAGGTTTAAAATTCTACATATGACAGTTATTGTGCTCCTATTCTATTGCGCTCCATCTGTTTGGCGCGCATGCGTGCGGTGGTGCTCATTCACTGAAGTCTGCGAAGTGTAGCGGAGAATTGCATGCAAAAGGATCCTGACAGCAAAATGGAAATATTTCCATGACTTTCTAACGTTTACAGATGGAGAATATACCTGTGAAATGTAAGTTATGCACTGAGGAAACCAGCACATCTCGAACGCATTAAACAGCGCGAGTAGCCTATCTGTCAGCAGCACATGAGTCTGTCAGAGCATCTGACGGGCTGAGCCGCTTTAAACTATACATGTTAACTATATCTTAGGAGTTATTTTAAAGCCCTTTAATATAAAGCATGTCTCATGTTTAGGACAAATTGGATTATGCACTTTCCCCGCAGCAGCTCACTCTATGTCTACTGCTATTATTTAGATGCACTCGTATCAAACTACTGTATACCAATATAAACCATATTGCCACATACCATATCGCTTATAAAAAAATATGTTGATATATCGTACAAACTCGATATACTACCCAGCCCTACTTGGAGGGTCTGGTTCCGAGACCCAGACTAGAATGCTAAAACTATGCAATATATATATTTTTTATTTAGTGTTTAATGTTTTAAATCTCTCCCAGGTCAAAACCCAAATGCATTATGGGCTAACAGTAAAGACTAACTTTAAGTGATCAGAAAAGTCATTCTGCATGCAGACGTGAGTGTGGACTTCAGCACCCTGTGCTGATGAGGAAAAATGCATCACGCACAATGTCAGAGTGAAAGGACGGAACTCGGATAAGCAAAGTTAACTTTTGGCTTATGCCAAGAGTTTATTTACCGTGGCAATGGGCCCCTCTACATGATAGTCCAAACTGAAGACATCCCAACCAGTGTCCCCTGGAGAAACCTGGACAAAAGAGGACACCAGACCCACATTCAGTGATGCACAATTATGTACTGGAATGTACCATCAGCCTGCATTTCGTTTGCTTGTTTTTTTGACTCAGTCCCTTCTACGTACCTCCAGTAGCCGGACGTCAAGCCTCTTCAGTATCTCAGGACTGTCAAACTGGGCATTGGTTGCCCTGACAGCGGTCTCCAGGATACCGGTTAGATTGTGTTGGTAAAGAGTGGTGGCAGCCCTCACCAACTCTGGCCTGACAGAGAGCAAGAGACAAAGAGAGATCGATGAGTTGAAGAAAAGAGAAAGATCCGTTATAAATCAACAATGAAATCAAGCACACTCGCGTCAAGCTAAAACAGAGATGTCTATGCTTTAATGTAGGGCTGCAACAACTAATCGATAAAATCGATTATTATCGATAATGAAAATAATCGACAACGATTCTCATTATCGATTAGTCGCGTCTGCCCACGGTGCACGTCCAACTTCAGCCGGTCGCGTCAAATTACAGCACTGAATAGCGCATTATGGACAAAATGCATCTAAAAATAGTGGAGGAAACAGAATGAGATGCTGCAGGAGAAGTACGTGATCCAAGCTGCCCAAAACTTAAGAATTCTTTATTTTAAGCTTTAACCTAACGCATTAGCGTATGGCGTAGGCTATAGGCTTGCCCTGTCCTGCGCTTTGACAGATGCATGTTCGTCCTCAGCGCAAAAACTTTCAGTTCACGGTCATATCCTTATCTGTAAATGTAACAAATTCACGCGAACACTTCCACTTTTGCAAAAAAGTCCGTTCTGATAGTAAATCTTTACTGAATGAGCGCCGGCGCGTGGACGCGCGTCAGACAGACGGAACAACACTGTCAAACTGGGCATTGGTTGCCCTGACAGCGGTCTCCAGGATACCGGTTAGATTGTGTTGGTAAAGAGTGGTGGCAGCCCTCACCAACTCTGGCCTGACAGAGAGCAAGAGACAATGAGAGATCGATGAGTTGAAGAAAAGAGAAAGATCCGTTATAAATCAACAATGAAATCAAGCACACTCGCGTCAAGCTAAAACAGAGACGTCTATGCTTTAATGACAGGTCATCCGTGAGCACACACACAAACTTACTTGAGGAGGTCCATGAGGTGTCGGATGAAATCTCCCTGGCCCAGCAGCAGGTATCTCCTCATGGCCTGAAGATGCTCCAGCAGCTGGTAGTTCTTATTCAACACATCCAACAGATACTTACTGGTCTCAAAATATGCAGCATCAATCTTACTCTGAAAGGCCCCTTCCAGATCAGTGAACAACTCCGTCGCTGAGAAAGAGATACAGTGTTTTAAATAAAAGTAAAAACATGAGAGAGAGAAAAAAAGGAAATAAAAGTGGTAAATTAAGAAAAAGAGGAAAGATGAGAAGAAAAACTTAAAATAAAAATAAACAATTTTGGTAAATCCTTTTGGCAAACATTACCAAAAATGTACAATATACTAAAAAACAGAATAAAGACAAAACTCATAAACAAACAAAAAAAATAGGTGGGGAATGAAATGAAACTAAAAAGAGGGGTTGAAAAACTAACGAAAATAAAATAACAGAATTTGGGAAACTGAAATATTTTTGTAGCCAACAAGTGTTCAGCCAACAAGTGTTCAGCATCTGCACCACCATCCACCAAAATATTTATTTTAGCTGTGATTTTTGTATACATAAATGAAAAAGATTTTACTCATTTTATGAAATAATGTGTTTTTTTTACTTTAAACCGCATAAACACATTTCATTACACCAAATACACAAAATAATGTTCTTTTTAGAGCAGCATCATATGACCCCTTTAAGGCCAGAAAAAGTCAAACACAAAGTCAACGCAGAGAACGAAAGAGAAGGACAAAACACCAGAAAATAAAGAACCTTCTAGAAACACACTGAAGGACAGAGATGTATGCTAGAGCCTAAGAGCATTGATTAGCCATGCTAGCAAAGAAGTTAAATACAGCCAGTGTCGATATGGACAACTACACCACAGACAGGCTGTCAAAAACAGCACTTTCCTCCAAAACGGATCAATCCTTCTCTCTCCTCTTTCCCCATCCCTCGCTTTCAGCAGGTTATTTAACTATTAGCTGCCATTATGGCCACAAATATCGCATTAGACAGCATAAACACAGCTATTTTAAGTGACTGCATTAGCGCTAGCTCACCATCTTTGGGAGAGTCGGTGGATTTGGAGGCAGGCATGATCTTTCCCGGCGGCGTCCTGTCGTGGCATACCTGATGCAGGAAGTTGATGGATTTGCCAATGAGTAGCACCTGGAGAAGGACAGAAAGGAAGAAAACACATCATTATAGGCTCATTTTAGTCTGAAAATGAATCACTATTAGTTAATGACCTGCATTAAACAACCAAATTGGAAGAAAATGTGAGTGGTGCTTGGCTGTGCAAAATACACATCCTTCCTAGTGTGTACTGGGTGGTTGATATAGGTCAGGTCAAACATGAGGACAAGTGTGCTATTATATACTTTATTGTACACATTTTACCTGGAGAGCAACAAAATTAGCATACTACTACTACTAACATATACTGTATTTGTAATATATAATATAATACGTATTATATTTAAATATTATTTACTAAAATGTGTTTATATATAT